TTACGTGAGGCAGAACAGCATAAAATTATCATACACAGGCATGAAATTACAAAATCGCCCAGGGACACCTAAAAAAAAAACTTCCCTCCCCACCTACAGCATCAAAAAAGATGGAAAGATTGTAAGAGAAGATCTGCAGAATGCAGGTTTAGCTGTGGTGCTTTAGTTTTTTTTTTTTTTAAATCATACTGTATAGTGTGCAAAATTATGGGGACAGTGTAAAAGACAAAAGCTCTTCAGTTTTGAATACTACCAGTAACACTTTAGATGAATGAACACGGTTCAGTTTTAACTAATTGCTTATTAGCATGCATATTACTATCATATTGGTTATTTATTAGTACTTATAAAGCATATATTGATGCCTTATTCTCTATTATTCTAGATCCCTTAACCCTACCCAATACCTAAAACTAACTACTACAAACAACTACTTTACTATCAATAAGTAGTAAATTAGGTGTTCATTGAGGGAAAAAGTCTTAGTTAATAGGGAGTTAGACAAATTCCCTAGTCTAAAAGTGTTACCATACTACCTTATTTGTTCAAATGTAAATTTACTTGTAAAAGTAGCTGTTTGTTATCTTTAACCTGCACATCTATATACCTGGTTTATGAACTGTAAAATGTTAATATGACTCTGAATGGTAGATACTAAAGGAGGAAAGATAGCCAAACCCAGTCTGGTAATGCAAATTTACCTGCGTTTTAAGTGTCTTTTGTATTTTTTTCTCTCTTTTAAATCCATTGGGGACATCAGCTTATCCAGCTGGACCTTGTTTGATCCCATTATGATCTTTTTAATATGGTTATAAATGATGATCAAATTCCAGTATGAATGTGTTTGTTTGTTTGTTTTTGTTAACTAGGGAAACATAATTGGAATGACAGTATTTGCTTGGGAAGGATTGCAGGTTATGCAAATGGAAATGCAGGGAAGATTTTTTTGTTATAATTGCATGACGATGCAAATCACTCAATAAAAACTCAAATCAAAAACTCAACTCCGATCCAGAATATCCTGAGCCAGAATCTAACTCCTCTCCTCCGGACCGTATCTCTCCCAGTCCACCAGATACTGGAAACCCCTACCACGGCAACGAACGTCTAGCAATCTCCTAACAGAATAGGCAGGAGAACCATCCAATAGACAGGTGGGGGGGAGGGGTGGGGTGAGGAGTAGATTGAGCCGCACCGCAACCAGATTCAGGACCTTAGTGATCTGGTATGGACAAATGGACCTAGGTGCTAACTTGTGAGAGACAGCCTTGAGAGGAATGTCCTTGGTGGAAAGCCATACCTTCAGACCACAGACATAGCAGGGTGCAGGAGTCTGTAGGTAGCCAACAGAACATTCAAAAGATGACACACCTGTGGAAGCCACAGGGAGAGTATTGTGGGAATACTCGATCCAAGAGAGCTGTTGGCTCCACTCACATTGACCATTGGTTTGGGGATGAAAACCTGACAACAGACTCGTAGAGGCCCCGATCTGTTGACAAAATTCCTGCCAAAAACGAGAGACAAACTGGGGACCCCTATCAGAAACCACGTCAACCAGACGACGTTGGGCTGTCTCCTTGGCAGAGGGGAGTTTGGGTAAGGGAATGAAATGAACCGCCTTGGAGAAGCGATCCACCACTGTGAGAATGATGGTGTAACCTCTTGAAGGGGGTAAGCCAGAGACAAAATCCAAGGCTATGTGTGACCAAGTTAAAGAGAGAATGGGCAAGGGTTGGAGCAGAACAACGGAGGGACGATTGGAGACCTTGTTCTGGGCACAAACAGATCAAGCCAACACAAACTGCCTGACGTCCTGGCCCACAGAGGACCACCAGAATCGCTGATGGATGGCAGCCAGTGATCTCCAGACTCCTGGATGGCAGGCAACCCTAGATTCATAACCCCACTGAATGGCTTCACGGTGCAGTGCCTTCGGCACGAACAACCGACCTGAAGGGCACCTAACTAGCACTTCCACCCCTCGTCCAGCCTCATCCACCCGCCGGGTTTGACGTTTTTGTATCCGGGCCGGTATGAAAGGGTGAAGTCAAATCGGTCAAAGAAGAACGCCCAGCGAGCCTGGTGCGAGCTCAGCCTCTTGGCTGAACGGATATATTCTAGGTTCTTATGATACGTCCAAACCAAGAAGGGCTGTGCTGACCACTCCAACCAGTGATGCCACCTCCAAAGGTCAACCTAACCACCAGCAGCTCCCGATGAAAATGTTGTAATTACGTTCAACTGGATTGAGATGATGGGAGAAAAATCAGAGGCATCAGAGGCATTCACCTCAACAATGAATTGCTGTTCAGGATCTGGAATAGAGAGAACAGTAGCATAGATAAACCGTGACTTTAAATTATCAAAGGCCTCCTGAGCCTGAGCACTACAGGTGAATGGTACCTTGGTGGAGGTGACAACCATTGAGGGTATAGCTACCTGACCTTGAGGAGTCCTTGATGAATCGCCGGTAGAAGTTGGCAAAGCCCAAGAAACTCTGCAGAGCCTTCCTAGAGTCGGGGACTGGCCACTTGATCAGGTTTAATCTCCACAGCAGACACTATAAAACCCAGGAACGAGACCGACTTGGCATGAAACTTTTCTGCCTATACATAAAGTCAGATGCTGAGTGTGTACCTGAAGGTAAGAGGAAAAGATGAGAATATCATTGAGGTACATACACATGCTGAGTGTGTACCTGAAGGGAAGAGGAAAAGATGAGAATATCATTGAGGTACACAATGACAAACTGGTTAATCATGTCACCCAACATGCTATTGACCATGCCCTGGAAGACAACAGGGGCATTAGTGAGCCCAAAGGTATTCATAGTGTCCTGTGGGGGTATTGAAGGTCATCACTCTCGCAAAACAGGAGACACAAACACAGGAGAAGAGGCAGCACCTAGGCAGGATGCATGACAAGATTGATTCTAAGACAATATCTGGTTGGAGGACCAAACCACGTGAGGGCTGTGCTGAGCTAACCATGGGTGCACCAGAACAAGTCGAGCTTATGGGGACTCCAGGACTTACACGTTGGGTGGTGTGGGTGATGGTGGCTACAGACTGGCCAGAATGTCCCCAGACATTGACAGGAGAGGAGAGGGAAATGGCAGGGATGCCCCAGCTCTTGGTTCATTGTGTGCATGTGACAACAATATAACAAATTCTCCACTAATGTGGCTTGTGTGGGAGGGTTGCAAGAAAAAAGCCACTCCTCAAGAAAGGCCACATGCAGTCAGACTGAGCTTTTCCAAAACACACTTTGAAGATTCTGAGGCAGATGAGATTAAATTGAATTATTTGGCCTCAACACCAAACGATATGTCTGGTGGCAATCCAATACAGCTCACCATCTAAATAACAGCATTCCTACAGTAAAGCATGGAGGTGGTAATGTCCTGTTCTGGGGTGTTTCTCTGCAGCAGGGACTGGAGCACTTGTCAGGACAGAAGAAAAAATGGATGGGGCAATATACCATCAAACTGAGGGAAATCTTGAGGAAAGTCTGCTGACCTCTGCCAGAAAGTTGTCAATGGGAAGAAGGTTTACCTTTGAGCAGTTCTGCAAAGAAGAGTGGCAAATATCGCAGTCTAGATGTGCAATGTTAGTAGAGACAAATCCCAACAGACTAAAGGCTGTAATTAAAGCAAAAGGTGCTTCAACAAAATACTGACACAAGGGGTGATCCTTTTTCCAACTGTTTTTTTAAACATTCTGTTTTTTTATTGTTTTATTTTTTTCTTACATGTTGGTGTTTTATCTTTCACTTGGATGTTATAAGTTGCACTAAGTAAATACAGCTGGATAAAACAAAAACTGTATCCGTCTTCATTTCATGCTGCAAAGCAACAAAATGTGATTATTTTAAAGGGGGCTGATTATTTTCTATACCCACTGTGTGTATATATACTGTATATATATATATATATATATAGGTGAGCCAGGGGATCAGCGCAATATTATACACACAGACCTCTAAAGTATCTCAATAATGAGTGTTTGAAGTGAATGAATGTAAACTTTATGAATGAAAAGAGCGCATATCAAACATTGCATTGCTGTTGCCTCTCCGTGCATCTCTCAGAAATCAGAGCTTGGCAAGAGTAATATCAACTAAAATAATACATCATACACGTTCTACTATTTGTATATATTTAAATGGCAATGATTTAAACCTTACAGGCTACAATATGATGAATGGAATAAGCACAGCGCGATCGCCAATCAAACAGCTACGTCTCCGTCTCTCAAAAACCAAACCAGCTCTCTGTCAAGAGTAGGCTATCAATTTAGATACAGATACAATTTCTACTCGGCCTCCATGTTTGCTTCTTTATCTTTTGCTGGTTTGCGTGGCACACGCACATTTGTTTAGT